CATGAACAAGGATTTGCTAAAGCTGTTGGGGCATAGTGACCTGCCCAGATGTCTGCAATTGCAGGCCTGGGGCAGGTGGGTCACCACTGTGTCCTAGCCCCTGGGTAGGATGCATATAGTTAGATGCTCAATCGTTTTAAATGAAATGCAGGGGAAACATCATCGGAACCCGGCTGCACAGTTTTTTCAAATAGCATTTCCCGGCCACAGGAGCTCTTCACAGTCTTTTGTTCAGTGGCTGCTGACTGCTCCAGAGTAGAGGTGCAGCGTTAGCTTTTAAAACCAAATCCCTGTTGTTAGACCATTTGGGTGATTTCTCGGTTCACATTATTACAAATAATGTTACTCATCCAGAATCGATGTGTCAAAAGACACATGAGCTTTTAAGGCTTTTGAAAAGAATTGATAGACTTCTGGACAGCTAATTTCTGAAGAGGGGCTGCTAAGTCTAAGGGGCATTGGAGTGATGAGGTGGTGTGGCTCAGTGGGACACATGTTGGCTCTGCTGTGGCTGCTGTGTGACCGGAGCATTTGCTTGACCTCTCTGAGTCTCAGAATCTCCCCTGTAGTGTGAAGGGTTTAGAGTGGCTGGGGAGCATGAGCTGGGAATTCTTTCCACGTTGCTCCCCAGGCTGGCGGGCTGTTACCAGGCCCTGGATGGAGGCAACACGGCGGATGCGCTGGTAGACTTCACAGGTGGCGTTTCTGAGCCCATCGACCTCACCGAGGGTGACTTTGCCAATGATGAGGCCAAGAGGAACGCACTCTTTGAGCGCATGCTGAAGGTGCACAGCCGGGGAGGCCTCATCAGTGCCTCCATCAAGGTGAGAACACCGAGCCGACCCCAGAGGCGGCCCCTCCCCTTTATCGACTCTAATGGGGTGGGAGGTGGCTGTGGTGTCCCAGGCAGAGCCCCTGCCCATGTTGGTTCGTAAGTCCAGACCCTCAGCCCCATGGGGGAAGGGAGCAGGTGGCGGGTGCAGCCCCTCCCCAGTGCTGGGCAGCCCAAGCCTCCTGCCCCCGCCCCCGCCCCCTACACTCTGAAATGCCTCGCCCACACTGTTTGACCAACACCCTCTTTCCTGGCCCTCTAAGATTGGGGAGAATGGTGTCTATACACCTGAGGTCCCTCAGTCAGAATTTGGGGCATCACAAACGATGAGGTGACTGGGAGAGGGGAGGGAGCCTGCTGCCTGCTGGCACAGGCCTGGCCGCTTCGTCTCATTCCATTGACTGCTCATGCTTCCTTGGGAAAGCAGGGACTCAGTGAAGGCAGCATTTGAGTCCAGGTTTGGCTGACCCAGGGGTGTGGGGCTGCCATTCTCTCCCCGTTCTGTAGGGGGCGCTGGGCCCCTGGCTCCACCTGCAGCCTGACAGAGCCCTGCCTCCCTGAGCCACCTCACCCTCACCCTCCTCCGCAGGCGGTGACAGCGGCAGACATGGAGGTCCGCCTGGCCTGCGGCCTGGTGAAAGGCCACGCCTATGCCATCACCGACGTGCGCAAGGTGCGCCTGGGCCACGGCCTGCTGGCCTTTTTCAAGTCCGAGAAGCTGGACATGATCCGCCTGCGCAACCCCTGGGGCGAGCGAGAGTGGAACGGGCCGTGGAGCGACACGTGAGGCCCGGGGCGGACCACGGGCGGACCACGGGCGGTGGTGGGGTGGCTTGGTGTGAGGGCTTGGGCCAGGACAGGTGGGCTTCCTGGAGGAGGCTGGTCCAGGGCTGGGTCTTGAAGGATCTGGGAGTTAGATGGCCTTAGGAGACTACTTCAGAGTGGGCACCTGGGGGTGGATTCAGCATGCGCAAAGGCCTGGGGGTGGGGACGTAGAGACCAATCAGGCCAGTGAGGGGGGAGGAAAGCAGGGAGGGAGGCCACCGGGGGTGAGGGTGGGGGTGACCGCTCTGTGCTTGGTGAACAGAGACCAGGCCCCCAGTAAAGGAGCCCCTCCACTGAGGGTCTTGCCCCCCTGCTCCCCCAGCCTGCAGCTCTGCTCCCTGACCTCCAGGCCCTGCCCACCGTTACCTGTGGAAGCGGGCAGACAGGCGTCTTAGAGGGGGGCTGAGCACACCCCAGGTGCCCACCCACACCCACCCTGATGGAGGCCTGGTGCACACATCCCTCGTCCTCCTTGCCCTTGCCGGGGGGCCTGGTGGGGTCCCTCTGCTTACCCTCTCCTGTTCCCTTTCCCCTGTGCTCACACCCCAGCTCAGAGGAGTGGCGGGAAGGTGAGCAAGAGCGAGCGGGAGAGATGGTGTGACTGTGCAGGATGATGGCCGAGTTCTGGTGAGTGTGCTCCTGCCCCGGATGGAGGTCCGGGGCTGA